CATAACACTGTAGGCCACAAGAAGCTGCAGGATTATTGTTTAATTAGCAGCAAGTTTATATTTTAAATCTGGATATCTGGACAATAAATAGCCATTTCTTTGGATGTGAATGCTGAAAATGTATCGCTGCAGCTTCATAATGTGATTGCTATTTTACAGAGCTTATACACACACAAAAAAATATGATCTTTGTCTATATTTTATACAAATACAACAGTAGTTTGTGAATACATTTTAAGTACATGATATACATGATAAGCCACTTGATTTCCCAATATCACAGAATAGCAATTTTAAATGCAATAAAAATATACAAAATTCAGCTTGGAATGCAGATTTTCTTCTTTTCTATTTTGACTCAAAACTTTATCATTATAACATTTTCAGAGTACTAGTCCAAACACTTTTTCGTTAGCTAAAAATACAATTTCAGCAGTCCAGCTTCTGTTCCGGCATGATGTAATCCATTTCCTAATGGATTCCCAGTTTTTGTTAAATGCAAAGGGCTGTTAGTAACACACAGCATGTTCTTCACTCCACACCCTATAATGAAGCCCACTTTCCGTTCTGAGTTACAGTCACCTTGTGGACAAAAGCTGGGTTTGTTCTGGTAACGTTTGCACATCCAAGATTTCCTGTTGCAAGTGCACATGAATACATTGTGGTGGTGTAAAAGTTTGTTAATGACAAATGAAGTCACAGTATAAAAATATATTGTACACTTTTACACCTAATGTAGTCCTTTTTCTATGGATAAAAAAATACAACTGAATGAGACAGAGAAGGTTGTAGCACCATGAAGAGTTGTATCCCAAGTTACATTAGCAGCATGATCCAACATAATATTGAAGGAGTGTTTCTGAGAAGATAAACATTCATTCTGGTTCATCTGTACCACTGAAGCTTATACAATGAAGTGTTTTATACATTAGCAATAGTTCTGCGTCATTTCTAGAGCTAGATACTTATCAAAAGACACTGCCTTCCATCCTCGGGGGGTTGATAACATTGTAGAAGGCCTAAGGGTGATCTAAGTGTGCCTTTACCGATGCTGGTAGTATCATCTTTTGTATGATCTAAAAGGAGCTCTCTATGGGTTTTCAGCACAAAACTACATAACTTATGTCATTCTATATAACCACAACAGACTATCTGAGTTGTAGACATGGCTGCTGACAGTGTGAGAAAAGCAAGACAAATTCAACTTAGGCACTCATTTGCTAATGATGAATACTCAACATCTGAAAGATCTCCTCCAATGTCACATGGATCTCAGTAGGCTAGAAGCAACTTGGGTGAACTGGTATTTTTTAACTTACTGGGAAGACAGTGTGCTTTGAGACACGTAAACCTTGTAAAAAAATAAACCATTGTAAAACCTTATGAAAAGACACACACTGATTCTGTGCAATATAGCAAATTGATAAGAAAACACTGTAAAAATGTACCTGTTTAAAATACCATCTACCATTTTTGTACACAAAGCATTATATATCAAAGGCCTACATATATATCATCTAATGGCACTTGAAACAAATTATAATAAGTCATAAAATAAAAGGCATAACCTATAAGAAAGTTTCTGTAAAGGTTTAGATTCATTTTGAAAGTGCTATATCTTGTAATATGTGTAGTATAGAGGTTGACCAAGCTCTATTTTTTAAAAAAATATTGGCCTATCATGTGTATTGCTCACTAGATGAATGATCCTGAAAATATGTACTCTTTAACATTCATTATTAGCTTAATAAAGCAATCAGCTCTGGCTCATGTTTCAGTCAGTATATGGTTTTTAAAAACCGCTACTGTCCAAATTAACACAATATATCACTATATTCCACAAATGACTATGAAAAATAAAGCACAAGCAACAAATAGGCAAAAATACACAGTTTGAAAGAAAGACTAAACGAAAGTTAAAAGTTGCACAAAGAGTGGTGCATGATCAGCCAGGACAACTGAAATTTTTAAAAACTGAACTTGGGAATAAGAGTTTAAAATGAAAGTTTAACAGTGACCAATAACTATAAAGAGATTTGTATACATCAATGGATAATATTGCTTACAGTGCTAAGATTCTTCCACACTTAATTTTCTGTGGTGACCTAATTTGTATACACATGTGGAAGTCAAACTGAATAGGTTCAATATCTTGTCTGAGGTCCAAATTTTAAAGTGAAATATTTTTAGTTAGTGTTAATCCCTTTTTAAAGTTTTTTCACCAAGCTAAGGCACTACTAGAAATTGCAAGGATAATGATTCTGGCCACCAGAGAATAAAAACAGCACTGGCGATAGTTATTTTTAATCACATCTAGTTAAGATAGAAAAAAATGACAACTTTTTTCTAGGAAAAAAAAGAGCCAATTCCGTTACATCCTTGTTAGAACATTGTGCAATTAAAATAAGTGAGTCTGTCTCATCTTTAATAGAAATTCTTTCAAAAAGGGTTTAGTGACCACTACAGTCAATTTCAACAACAAAAAATGAGCTGAATTCCCTCTTACTTTGAAGTGTTATTTCAAGTCTGTGGGGGCAACAACAGGCAAAGAGGTGTGCATATGAAAATTAAGACTCCATAATTTTAATACTGGTGCCCTCAAAGATGTGTCGCCATGTATTTAAATTTCATGCAGGGCGAGATTTCAGTTAAAAAATATATATATACACGTATATGGCGCCATTCCCCATTTCCAAAATGCTTTATTCAATAAATCCTGGTTCTCCCTTTTTAAAAAAATTAGCAGTGAAATACAGCCTACTAAGGCCAACGTCTCAGTTCATTAATTTGACGACTTCTTGAGCAAATTTTAAACAGTAAGTAGTGCTTCCATACTTGCTATCTGTGATTTCTATTTAAAAATAGGTTTTCTATTTATTTGTGCTGTCACCAAATTATTTTCCTTTTATATGGTGATTAAAGCAATATTGAACACTAATCATTCAACGAAAGATTTAGGTCAGCAATCTGTTTCATAGAAACTAAAGGAAGCAGTAATGAAGCAGAGCAAAAAGCCTACTTTCAGAGCAAATATTCTCCTAACCAAAAGCTTAGGAGCGGTTTGAAAAATTAAAAAATGTATTTCTTTATTAACATATATAATTTTAATGCCTTTGGAACACACTTTTTTAATAAATGTAATTTTTCATAATAAAATTTAAATACATAAGTATAAAAACTACTGCTCCTAGGAGTAAAAAAAAATAGGAGCATGATAAAATATCAGAAGCCAAAGCTCCTTCAGAGAGCAACTTTGATTCTAATGAAGTGCGATATATGTGTGTGTGTATATATAATATATATAGTGAAACCCCATTTATATCATTACAATTTACATTTCTCCACAAATTATACTACTCCCAAATATTTTAAATAAGGTATTATATTCAGTAATCTGCACCCATTTTTAGAAACTCGGTAAACATTGGAATCTGCAGTGATAACTGGCCCTACAAAAGGGAAAGAAGCTTCCATATAGGGCCAATGAGTGCTCAGAAATATTTTTCTTTTTCCTTTTTTTAAAGAGCTATATACTCTTCTGTACACCTCCTATCCTTGCCCCCACCTCAACAGACGGGGGTCCCAAAATAAGGTGTTAACAAGTGCTTAATAGATATGTTTCTTAGGTTGATGTCCTAACTGACTCTTAGATAAATATAATTAGAGCTTTGAGGAGATTATGGTGGTTGTCTAATGTGAGGAAAGCCTATGATAATTATTTTATTCCGTGAATACAATATTCTTGACTGTTATTCTCCCATTAACCACTATAGTGTTTGTTTTACTTTACTTTGTTCCCCTCTACCAATTCAACTTCTTTGCAACACTCCTCCCATTTCCCAGAGATGAGCAAAAGTGGGGTTTTACTGTATATATTTTTAGTCACTTAAAACTTTGCGGTAATATCTCACATAGCTTTCTAAAGCATTTAACTTTAAATTTTCCATCCAAAAATCACACAGAAAAACGGATTTGCATGGAATAAGAAAGATAATATAGGAGTAGAATGGCTGTTTTTGTTTTCTGCTTTTGGTTTTTAAGGGATAGAAAAATATATCCAATTCAGCAAGAAGACTATAAGTAATATGCTTTTACTTTACTTCTAAAGAGTTCAGTTTCCAACCCCGGCAACAGGGGACATGATCTCTAGACAAGTTCCCAAGTGTAACCATGTGTGTTACACTATCTATCTTCCTGCTTAAGAGCTCACCACCCCAAAGAGGCTGGGAGATACTCCACTCTGGGATAAACCTAACGTCTGCAGTTCCACAATGGTTCTAGATTCTGGCCTAACTGTGGACCAACAATCAAAATAAAATAAACTGCTGGCTGCACTTGACCCACCCTTTGGCTGAGAAAGGTGGAAAAGATTAAAGAGATCTAGCTATATAGTGACTCTGAAGACTCCAATGCCACACAATATTATTAAATGGAAAGACAGCAAGTTAAGAAACATGAAACACGAAAAAAATCCTGTGTACTAATTTAGGACCACCTATTCAGTAACACAAAATGCCATGTCACCCTACTAGGAGTCTCTTTTTGCTATAAATACTGGTGCTCTGTGTTTAGGATTTGTTTTCCTTAAGTGCATAATAAAAGACGGCAAATATTTCAGCCAGAAAACAGCATGTCTTCAAAATATACTGATCTGAAATTATAGCATATCTAAGAAACCTCTGCTATCTCCCCAAATTGGATTCTTAATTCAGTTGAAGCACTTGATTGTGAATCCACTTATAGGCTAGCGAAAAATTTTAAATTCTTGAGTTATTCACATACTTTTTATGAAATTTACATTCTATTGCAAAAATTTTTAAATGAGCCAAATGTCAAAAGGGAGAGCCATTGTTATTTGTACATGGGATTTGTAAAATGTTACTAATAATAATGGCTTTCCTATATGAAAAAAAAATCTTAAAATATGACAGTTGGCAGTGAATCAGGACAAAATACCCAGGTAAACATAACTGAACACAAATGGTTCCAAAGCTCATTTAAAAAGCTAGTTTCTATTTTATACTGGCTTAATGAAAATTGGTATTATACAAAAGCAGAAATTTTTATACTGTCTTAAAGTAGGCACTAAAATAAAAATGGTCACCTAGGGCAGGGCTATACATACAGTTCTACAATAAATCCACGTCCTGGAATCCTACTGAAAAGCTTGATGGAAACGTGGGAGGGTGGTGCTTGTGCTTAAACTGCTGGTGAAAGCTGCTGACAGTGAGTGCAGAGACCCAAGCCCTATAGTGTTTGCAGGATCCTGAAGATCCTGTGTTTGTGGAGGGAGCTGGGAAACAGATGAATGTGCCTCTTCCTGGGAATAGCTCACTCCAAGGCTCCCCATGGATATAGGATTGTAGGGAGGACCGTTTAACGGTATGAAATTAAACAACTGAGAAAAATCCAATGCTGGTGTGTTTAGCGGGTCACTGATAGAGAGAGAGCTTTTGGATAGGGAGAGATCCCCCGCACCATCATCTAGGGATCCAACCTGAGGATCCAACCCTAGCTTAGATGATGACGACGCTTGAGAATCCTGGGATGAAGAGGGCATGCCACCTTGCAACTCCATCAGGTAACTCTCAATTTCCCCTTTTAATGGCTGTTCTTTTTCAGGAATAGAAATTGCATATGAGGTAGAACTGAACGGATATTTGAAAGAAAGATGATGAGAGGGATGAACAGCATCCATATCTATTGGGCATGTCATTCCCAAAGGTAAAGTTGTGATCATTTGGTGGGCAGATCCAGAGCTCTGCATGGACTGAAATGGAGTGTTGTAGAGGTTTAACTGCAAAGTGTTTGTGAATGGCTTTGATAACAGTTCACTGGAAGGTAAGGACATCACTGGAAGGAGCTCATCTTTTATAGGCACAGACACATTGCAGGTAAAGGGGTCCAGGAAATCCACCGGTTCTGTTTTGACCTTCAGAAGCTCTTGATTGTGACTCTTCTTCATATGCCGAGTCAGGTGATCTTTTCGTCCAAATCTCTGTGCACAATACTGACAGAGGAAGTCCTTTCTTCCGGTGTGCACCACCATGTGTCTCCGGACATCTTTTCGGGTGTAGAACCGGCGATCACAATGTTCGCACTGGTGCTTTTTTTCTTTAATCCCACCAGAAGATTTGCCTGCATGAGATTTAAGGTGCTCCAGAAGCACGCCTGTGCTTTCAAAAGTCTGCAAACATACTTTGCAGGTGAGGTCACCACTTGTTGCGGCATGCAAGGCCAAGTGACGTTTAAACCCAAGCTTGGTATTGTAGTTCTTGCCACATTCTTCACACTTAAACGTCTCTTTGTTAGGGTCGTGTGTATGGAGGTGATTCTTCAGATGATCTTTCCGGTGAAACATTTTCTCACAATAATTACACTTGTGGGTTTTCTCAGGAGAATGAGTAGCCATGTGCCTTTAAACACAGATATATTCTGTAAGTAATTATCATGACAAAAATGGGCATGTATTCATTTTTCAAATGGAAGCTAAACTACTATGCTAATACAGAATTCCCTTAATAATGGAAACTGTTTAACCTAATATATACCACAAGAATAGTTAACATACCTAATGACTGCAAAACTTGAGCCATTTAAGTTGCCACTTGAGTTTTTGCTGGTTTTTAGCTATCATTACACAAACAAATGAGCAAGACTCAATATACTCACGTAAATGTCCATACCCTTTTCTTGTTGCAATTTCTTTCTACAAACGGAAATTCTACTCTCATTAAGCATTTTATTTTAAAAAGTCCAAAGACACTAATACATAAAAGAATGTGATTTAGAATACTAAAAACTAGCCAATGTCTAAGCTACTTAACATTTCCTCTCTGCAAATTAGCTGAAAAATGTGTATACAAATACATATGCTCACAATGGCTTTAAATAGCCAACATAAGAGAAAATATAATCTGAAAGACAAATAGAGTTGAATACCTTTGTAATTTGTACTTAGAAACAAAGGCCTTGGTGCAGTCTTGTTGTATGCACTTGTAGGGCCTCTCTCCTGTGTGAGAGTAGGAGTGAACCTTTAATTTCTCAACACTGTTAAAGGCCTTGTCACACAGTTGGCAAGGAAAGTTTTTTCTTGGTTTGGTTTCACCACGCTTACGTTTCCCTGAAGGGACTTTCTGGGTATCTCTTACTTCTGACAAATCACCAGGAATGACAGTGGCCATCGCAGCCTAAACCAGGCCTTCTTGTTGGACACTTGGGAACTGCCCAACTCCACTAAATGATATAGCTTTAGGTGGCTTCTCAAGTTTCATGTGGTCGTAAAAGAAAGCAAAAAGGGACTGGAAAAAAAAATAAGAAACAACTAGTTTGTAACTAAACTTAATTTTAAAAAAAATTTATTTGCTAAGTGATGCTTTTGAATTAAAAAAGAAACCAATAAAATGGATTCAGCTGGTCTAATGTAACATCATTACATTACATTAGAAACCCCATAGTTTCTTTATATTTGTCAAAATACATATAACTGCATTGCTCAGAATGAACAGTTCATACATACCCTGAAATTCCACCTGACAAATGTTATTCTTAGGCATAGCAGTAGTGATTTTGGGAACTCTCAGAAAGCATCAAAACATGACTCTAAAAGTAGCATTATTAAGCTTCAATTTTCACAGGGATTAGACAGCATAAATCTGACTAAAACCAACAATGTTTCTGCAGATATTTCAGTCTCAAAAAAATCAGTTTGATTTGTGCCCATCAACTCTAGTCAGATTCTGTTACAGAAAAAGTCATAAGCACCTGAAAACTTTTTTTGTTGTTGTTGTTTTGAGATAAGGGCCTCACTCTGTTGCCCAGGCCTGGAGTGCAGTAGCACGATCATGGCTCACCGCAGCCTCCAACTCCTGGGCTCAAGTGATATTCCTGCATCAGCCTCTAGAGTAGCTGGGATTATAGGTGCACACCACCATGCCCAGCCAAGTTTATAATTTTTTTGTTGAGATGGAGGTCTCACTATGTTACCCAGACTGGTCTCAAACCTCTGGGTTCAAGTGATCCTCCCGCTGGAGCCTCCCAAAGTGCTGGGATTACAGGCGTGAGCCACCGCGCCTGGCCTGAAAACTTTTTTAGGCACCTTGTGAACCATCAAGTCCATGGAAGAGGTACCTTATGCAGACACCAGAGGCTTGAAAGAGTTGAATGTACCACCCAATGTGAAAATTAACTCTTTATACCAGAGTCACCATACTCTGAGGGACTTTTGAGTCAGGAGCAGAAATGATTTTTCTTCCTAACAAATACATATTCTTGAGATGACAAAACCTTTTAATGTTTTATTAGGTGAAGAGCATGGCTCCTTGTCATTTTTGGGGAGAGAGATGGTTAATGTAATTTTCCTCAACATTTTTCACGTCACAGAAAATGATTGTGTTCTTTAAGCACAGTCATTGGGAGATAATTGAGGTTGGTAGATAAATTGGAGTCAGTAGGCCTCCCCAAAGCTGAGGAGATCAGCCTTTGACACACCTGTAACCAGTGTACAGTAGACTTGTTGAGACTTCTGACTTAGCGCACCATACCTGTGCAAGAATACATCGTTAAAGACATGTTTCAGGTTGGTAAAAAGGTATGTCAGAGTTTCAATTCATTATTGGTGCTGTGAGAAAGAATGAAAAGTACATATTGTACAGCAAAAAGTATGTCTTTTTAAACAAAAATAATTAAAATTGGATTGCAATCTTTGAAAATTCATAGACCAGACATAGTAAACATTATCAATTCTAGTTGTCAGAATAAGAAAACCAATCCCCAAAGATTCAACTGCTAAGAGTTAAGTGACTCCTCAAGGTTTGTGAAGGCTAGTTAAGCAATGTACTCTTAATAGACCACAGAAATGGTAATACTTGCAATCTCTTTGAAAGAGATTTCATTTTTGAGTTGAACACTTGAATGTGGCTAGATGACTACTATCAACAACTAATCAATTGAATTTTTCATCTTATTACATATTAAAAAAAGGAAAACCAGCCTCCTTACATCACTTGTTTTTTGGTATTGGACTGACACTGACACCTGCCTTCATAAGCTGGGACTATGACACCGAATTTCACAGATTCTAGTTATACTTTTGTAGGAGCTCTAAACACCCACATTTTTGTGAAATTAAGTGTATGTGACAGTAAGTCTCAATGTATCTGAAAGTAGAAGCTGTTTGTAAACAGGAAAATAGAGCAATTACCCACTCATGTGATTAGTGTAGTAAAGCATATGGGTAAGTTACTCAGTATTTGCTTCAAGTGTTTTTTCTTCTTTATTGGTAGATACAGGCAAAGTCTTCCTGCTATTTACTGTCTAAAAGTCACCCTTGCAGTTTAAAAGTGACATTAATATACTACAACTGGCATTACCAATGCTAACATATGTTCTGTGGTTTTAAATTTTCAGAACCTCAAGGATTTGCTTTTCTGTGATATTCTCAGTCAAAAGATGGCTCCTCTGCCTCTCTCAGAAATTTCCAAATAGCTATTCTGCTGTAACCAGTAGTGACAATATAAACTGGCATAAAGTACTATGTCAAGGCTGGAAGAAATCTTTAATTTTCATTATCTGATTTCCTAACATGATGCTTTGATGTATCTATTTATAATATTGTGGGAAACAAGCGTATCCATTTTGATTCCAAAATCAAAACGGAATGCAAAGTATCTAAATCCCTGTATATAACTATTATCTGAAAATATTTCAAAACCGGTCTATTTGCTATTGTGTTTAGATCCATAATGGGCAGAGAATTCCAGTTGAGGAAGACAACTTCTAAGTTACTGAAAAAAAAAAAAAGGTATTAAAAGTGCACCATGAAACAATATACAGACATTTGATTGCATTAAAATTGGTGATACTCAATATGAGTAACAAATGAATTCTGTTAACTTTGGATGTACATACTGAGCAATGAAGAATTGCACTGATTTCAAATATAACACTTTTCTAAGACCAGCTGAAATTTTCATGGCTGATAATACCTTTTCATTTTAATATAGTACAAAACTCAAATTAATTATCATAGGTACATTTACAACTCTAGGAAAAGGCTGTGAGCTCAGCATCTAACAAAAGACCACCTTCATAATATGCATTTCAGTCAAATACTTTAAAGATGCATGCATAGATTTATAGTGATTTTTGTTCAATGCATACCTGATTACCGATGGAAAGAGCCTCAGATTTTGATCTTAGCCAGTCCCATTGACTCTTCGTGGAAGAGAGCGGAATCCAATCCTTCCCATTTTGGCCAATCTATGAAAAAAAAGTAATACTGGACTATCCTCTAAATGGAACTGGTACGTAAATGATGGAAAATAGAGGATAAGAGAATTGCAATTTCATGGCACATGCTTACATTCCACAGTCTGCTGAGAAGTCATGCATTAATTTTCATCAACTGCATATTTTTATTAGTTCTAAGCACATTTACATGACCAAATAAATGCAGGAATAGAAAGTAAAACAGTATTACCTAGACAAATGGCAATTTGAGCTGCTGAATGACTCCCTTCTTTCCCAAATTCAATTTAATTAAAAAAAAAATCTAACCTCCTGAGAGAAGTGGATATTAAGGTTTATCGTTTGTAAACCAAACTTATAATACTTTTATGGAAGTGACAAACTCAGTCCCCTCTCAGAGAGTGCATCTGGAACTGCACCAAAGATCAAGACTCTTGGTGAAAGCACTCACACCCACACCATGCACACTTGTGCAACTGGGGTTTCTCAAAGTTACACTTTTGTTACCTGCCATACCTGCCAATTTATTTTTCAGAATGCTGCAAAGACTGCTGAAATGCAGCAACAATTCTGTACTCTTTAGATTTCAAAAGCACACACAAGAAGTTAAACATAGGTTTCGCTACAGGAGAAGAAAGTGTTAGGAAGAAAGCATCTTTTGGTTTAAGAGATCATTGTTGGAAAAAATCTTAAAATAGTTTAGAAATGTCTATTAGTAGCATGACCATTAGTTGACTGAGAACACACATAGAAAAAACCTGTTAATTCTTGATTGTACAAGTAAACGTGAACAGAATAATGGTCAAAAGGTAGAAAAATCTGGAATTACCTATTATGGAGAGCACAAGGCATAGAGAGATTAGTAAACTCTGAGTATCTTAAAGATGAACATTCGGAAATCATGATTATAAAAACTTTGGAAGGATAATATAAATCAAATAAAATACAATAACAAAAGGATGTGTCAAAGACAGGTTAAATAACTTTAAAGTTCTAAACACAAATCTACCAACTTCCTCTAAAGTAAAATTTTCACATATTTTAAGAATGTGATGATGTCTAAATACAATAAAATAATAAAATAGAAGACATTTAAGCATTGTTACAAAAATACTAAGGGTATATTTGAAAGCAGCATTATTCTCCTAGTTTAAAAGATAAGAAAAATAAAAATTTAGACCTATAAAAGATATTTTAAATGTTAAAGCTAAGCTCCATTCTTCAATAAAGCACAGGACATGCATATATGGAAGAACCGAATCTGTATATCAATATTGCAAAATAATAAAATTAACTTTGTAAATACTTACTTGCCCAGGGCACACACTGAGTTTTTGGTGGGGTAATTAAGAACACGAAAGACTATTTTGTGGATTATGTTATTTTAATAATATAAATACCTTATAAGTGTAGAGTGTTTTCATCTCTATTATCTCCCTGGAATTCAATGAATCTGAAAGGTGGATGCATTTGTCACCGTTGCCATTTTAAGGTGAGAGGCCCACAGAAGCTGAACAACTTGACAGCATATATGTGGTCAAGAGAGGGCATAAGACCTAAAACTCCCATTTCACTTTAATCCTATTGTATTCTAAGATAGGACAGGTTAGCAAGCCCATCCGCAAGTGGATGAATCCTGTCACTATACTTAGAAGACCAAAAGAAGAGAAAGTACCTATTTTCTCTATTAGAGCTGCCAGATATGATCCCCCAAAATAAATAAATTTAAGACTTAAAAAGTTTAAAAGAAAGCTGGGCTCGGTGGCTCAGCCTGTAATCCCGCGCCTTTGGGAGGCTGAGGTGAGTGGACTGCCTGAGCCCGCGGGTTCGAGACCCGCCTGGGCAGCGAGACCTCATCTCTACAATAAATCAAAAAATCAGCCGGGTGTGGTAGCGCATGCCTGTAATTCCGGCTACTCGGAAGGCTGAGGCGGAAGGATCGCCGGAGCCCAGCAGGTTGAGGCTGCGGTGGCCGGGAGCGGCCACTGCACTCCAGTCTGGGCGACCGAGTGAGACTCCAACTCAAAAAAAAAAAAAAAAAAAAAAGTTTAAAAGACAGCTTATAAAGTAAGTTTTAAATAATTTAAATAACTTAAAATAATGACTAGTTTATCAGTCTGAGTAGGTAACAATTTGGGGTAAAAAAAATCTAAAATCAAAGTTGACAAGTAAACAATAAATTTGTGTATTTTTTCCTTCTTACTCCAACCAAAATAAATTTTATTATATCTCAAATACATTAATAAACTCTTTATGCTTATTTTTCAATAGCATTTTACAATAAAAATACTTTAGCACCTAAGTATTTCAATAAAGCTAAAAATTATGTATCTTGTTTTAAGATATGTCAATAGTCTACAAATTACCCCTGCTCTGTAATAGCAGAGCATAAAATAAATAAAATAAAATAATAGCATAAAATAAAGCCACCATTTAAATTTATTGGATCACAAAACATAATTTCAAAGTTATCACTTATTTTTCTAAATTCAACCTATCGTGAATTCTTATGACTTGCCAAATAACTTCACAGGACTGCTAAAAATTTCCCAAAACATATGAAATCAGCATTGGTTAGAATTATTATTTGAATTGACATAATAAACATAACAAATAGTTTGTATTTATGTAATTCCAACTGAAATGTTAAATACAATAAAAGGTTAAATAAAATTACCTGCGTATTCTTTTATAGGATTAAGAAAAACATTCATTTGTATACCTAACCCTGAACTGTACCCCGTATCTTTAAAATAAAAAATTTAAAAGTTAAATTAAAAAAATAAATAAATATGACAGTTAATGAAATCTAACAAAAAACATTAACAAAGTACTGGAACAACTGTTCTGAAAAGTCTACATCAAAACTTGTATCCGTGTTTTTCTTTTCTACTTTTTAAAATACTTATCAAAAATTAATACTGTGCTTTTCACGCGATGAAAATTCTTCTTTGCCTTGGTCTGAAGAATTATGTACTATGGTAGGAAATACATACACACATTTCTAATTGCTCTAAGATGAAAAACAGCAGTTCAGACGACCCAGTTTTTGTTGGTACCAGAACAGGCATTTTTTTCCAGGGCAAATTTGCATACACAGAAACAATAGTTAGAGGAAATATTGCATGTCCATGCACACACACACAGGTTTATCTTTTTACATTTTATATTATTCTAAAACAGTGACTAACACAGAAAAATAATAAGCAAAAATGAATCATACATCAGAGAGTCTACTAAAACCAATTTCTATGAGATGCCCGTGAAGAACAGGCCTGTTTTGAAGGTGTTTCTTTCTATATTTTAAATTCCATAGTCCTGATAGCCACTTTGGTAACAGCTGTGAAGTTTTATACATACCTGCATCAATAATTCTTTTGTATTTAAAAGTCAAACATAAATTTTGCTAGCTAAGGGCAAATGACATCAATCATCAAAGCTTTATTCTCCATTATGCCAATTATAAAATACCAATAGTCAATATTTCAGAAAACATCCTTAAAATGTTTTTCATATAAAGTCAATAAGGCAGGTTGCAAAACAGAACTTACCGATTCTTAATATTTTAATTTACATGTATGAAACACAACAGAGTTTTGAATAATATGAGAGAAACTATGAATAAGATAACAATTGAAGACAGTCAATTCTGAAGTAAGGACAACAGCATACTGAGAACATTTTTTTTTTTTTTAAAAACAAGACAACTTCAATGATCCTGTATGACAATTTTGAAGTTTTTAAAATTTTTATTTATGTTTATTTTTATTTATTTATTTTTTTGAGTTGGAGTCTCACTCTGTCGCCCAGAGTGGAGTGCAGTGGCCGCTCCCGGCCACCGCAGCCTCGACCTGCTGGGCTCTGGCGATCCTTCCACCTCAGCCT